CCTACCGCCCAATTCGAGCGCGTGGCAAGATGTGACCGCCCGGCGATCGATATTGCTATGCGCACATCTCGCCACGCGCTCGAATTGGGCGGTAGGCCGGCCTAAAACAACGATTTTTAAGAATTAATTACTCGTTAACTATTACGAAAATTGCAAAATGGTACAGGACTTTTCCGTTCATCTCGATCCGTTCTACCTTCTCAAAAATTTTGTCGGATATGGAAAGACTCACCCTGTATAATTATTATCGCGCAATATTTACATTTATTCCATAGCCAATCTAATATAACCAACATTGGACCAATGTTTAGCTAATGCACTGTGCTTCTAGGAATGGAACCGTGAGTTTATTTCGACGACCGCCCTCCGCGTTGGAGACAAAGGCGTTTTTCCCTCGACGCAAATCTGATCTGTCTCGCACGATATTCGTTTGTCGACTAGTCTGCGCGATAAGAAAACAGAAAAGTGCCGAAAATAGAAACAATTGCGTCACGCTTTACTCTGTGTTTTTTTTTCGCCTTATGCAATTTGATCGCCGCGAAGATATGGACCGCCGTTGTTTATCGTGGTTCCGATTAGCGTCACTGGCAGCGGCGCGAGCAATTAACAGATACTTTATCTAACTCCAAACAAAAGTTGGATTCATTATCAACGAGCGAGCGAGCGATATCTCGCCTCGGAAAATCGAACGACCGCGGAGATCGGTCTCTCTCTCTGTCTCTCTCCCTTTTGCTCTATATACGCCGACGTTCGGTGACGTTGCTGTGCTATTCGCGAGCGACGCGCGATGCCTTTTTCCGTATTCGACAAGTGCATCTGTCTGAAACGTGAACGAGCGGAAAATGGAAGTGCCAGGGACGACGTCGCGGGATCGGAGTGTCAGTGTTCGGAAAGTCCTGTTATCGTCGCGATCGCTCAAAAATGCGGTTCAATTTAAGAGCCACGGCCAGAGCCAGAATCTGCATCGTAGCGCATCCTCAACATGGAGGAGCCGCGTCTATTAGTGCATTAGTGCATCCGCAAATCGGCCGTTTTCGTTCGTTCGCAATAGAGGATTTTTAATTCGCAGACTCGATTCCTTTGCCTCGCCGAAAATTTAATTTTCCGCAAACCTCTCGAAATAAACGGCAGTATTATGATAGCAACTGACTTCGCCTGACACGCGAACACGTAACTCTTGGCACGCAACAGTCGGACGGCCGTCTTGTTAATTTCTCTCGCTCCTCCTCGCGACGAATTTATCGCGATCTCATGATCGGCGCGCGGCGGCGGCAGTTAACGTTCGTACTCTGCCGCGAAACTTTCACGATGCTGGAGATCGGCGTCTAGGCCTTTTTCTTTTTCCTAATCCACATGTGCGATGCGCTTCCACGTTGATGGCGATGCATCTAGGATGTCCCGCAATTTGCGATCTTAATTTCAGTGGCAACCCTTATAGAAATGTAAGCGAAATAATTACTAGAAAATTACTGCACATCAGTACTTTCTAATAATTCAATTACTGAACTCTACCCCAATATCACAATATATTGGCACAATATTGGGAAATAATCTAGTATTCTCGATATTGGTCCAGTATTGTAAGATGGACGCCTTTTCTTATTTAGCAATATTGGTCTAATATTGTATCAATGTTGGACCGATATTGTTATTACATAGTTAAATATTGGCCAATGCACAGTAACTTCTGATAATTCAATTACTGAACTCTACCCTAGTAGCACAATATATTGGCGCAATAAGTATTGGGAAATAATGAAATAATGAAATGAAAAAATGAAAAATCTAGTATTCCCGATATTGGTCGAATATTGTAAGATGGACGCCTTTTCTTATTTAGCCAATATGTCTAGCAATATTCGTCTAATATTTACAATATTAGATACAATATTGATGCAATATTAGGCCAATATTCTTATTACATTGGTAAATATTGGCCAATGCACTTCTAATATAAATCTAATATTATGTAATTATTATCGTGCAATATTTACATTTATTCCATGGCCAATATTGGCTTTACGATTGTTCAGTGCTGTTTTTCATTCCCAGTTGTTACATTTCTGTAAGGGAAGTTTCTTCCCAATTTTGGAATCGCTACTTCCTCGGCGAAAAACGCAGGAACTCGACGTTTACCGCAACTTTTCATTCCGAACGCTAATTAGTTTTACACGCAACTTGAAATTTGAAAATAAAATTCCACTAAGGCTCCGAAGCTAATTGAAGATTACTAGATTCAAGATTGCCGGTTGACTAATCGTTTCCGCAAAAGTACACGGAAGACCAGCTTCTTGTCAATCGCTTTTACAACTCCGAAACTGTGGACGCTGGCGAAACGTCTTGCCACAGAATACGCTATTAAAATTAAGATTGCAGATTATGAAATATCTCGTGCAGACACACTCGTTCGTCACGAATTGCGTGCTGAAAATTCTGCCTCCCGGCGGCCGAGTCCGCGAGGCATATCACGACGTTGTCAAAGGAATTTGCCACGTCTATCGCATCTCTTCATTGTGCTCTTCGAGATAACGTTTCGCTCGGTAACACGGTTACTCAACGTCGATTAAAAAGCATCTCAACGGGACAGGTGAACTTGGCTCGTTGTGGATGTTGCATAAGATTACGTTGTAGAATAACAACGCAAAAAAGTTTAATCGTTCTTCTCCATGTCTATTGTCCAGCGGATGATACGTCGAAAAAACGATTGCTAAAGAAGATAGCGACGTGTTCTATTAATAGCTGCATTAAATGTTTCTGGGAAATATTGTTTTGAATCAACACGTTGCAAAGCAGCGTGGCGCGAAATACCAGTTTGGTGATAAAACTTTTATCTCTTTCTCAACTTCCTCGGATTTGATTTCCCGAGGATGTGTTTTTTCTCAAAATCTCCGCCTGAGTGAGGAGGAATCGGTTTAAATTAACTTGCCTGGTTAAAGGGTTAACGAAGCCGGAGGGCAGAGTTGATCGAAGAGGGAGGTCGATTAAAGTGGATGTTTCATTGTTCGGCGCAGCCGCGTTTCCTCAAGATTTAATAACACATTTCTCGCAGAAAGATCACGTAACGGTTAATTAAGCGTATGGTTTCACGAATGATTATTTTCGCTAGATGGCACAAACGGGACGGCGCCGGCCCCGGTGCAAAATGCAGTCCAGACAGACCAGCCGGCAGATTCCGACAACGCTAGCGTCGGAAGTGGTAATTCGAATCTTAGCACTGGCGCGCTTCAGGTATGAAATTTATACTTTATTCTACTTATATAATTATTACATGATATTGCAATAAATATTTATATAAGAATCAAATTTACGCGCGCGGTTGAAATTGTAAAACGCAATCGTAAAAATTGTGCGCTGCTATCATTTTATCGAAAACTCGCATACAATTGTTTGCTCCATCTCGCGCTCCGGTTTTACGATTGATTTCTAATTAGATATTTCTAGGCTTGGGATTGATAACAATTCTTATTTCACTTAACTAGCTGTTAATTTTATGTAATGGTACAAGTATATAAATTGGTGCGCGATTTTGTGAAATGTGAGAATGGGAAGATGATAATAATATTTTTATACGCCGCAGAATATCAGAGAACAAATGGCTGCATCTCTGGAACGAATGAAAGAGCTGGAGGAACAGGTCAAGGCGATTCCCATGCTGCAGGTGAGTTCTCACTAATTTCCTACTCTCCCACCTACGCTTTCGTAACGTTCATCGCCCGGCATGTAATTTGCACCCATGCGAGCTCTTCCGTTCTAGCGAAACGTTCGTGTGTAAGATATTGCCGCTGCTTTATCACGATCTTGTTGTTCCTATTACGAAGACGTCTCGTTGCTCGTTCAATGCACAAACGATGTGAAGATACGAAATATTTTCGAAGAAATGTTCCGTGAACTCGTATCTATATTTATGTAATAATTGTTACCGCCTTAATGGAATGAGCTTGACGCAAAAAAATAACAAAGCTACAAATATAGAGATTTTAGTATTTTATTTTTAAGCAATCTTGTAAGTACTGATTTCATTTTTGTTTAATGTAAAACGCAGAATATTTAATTTCCTGTTCCATCTGTTGTTATCGAAGAACTAATCTGAAAGATACAGTTACGCGGAATATTAGTCATCGATTCTATTTTTGCGATTGAAAAATTGACGTACCATCATTACTTTCGCAATGCTAAAAGTCTATGCGTGTTTTCTCACGCGTCGCACTTTTATCGGTCTCGATATAAAAGCTTCCACTATTGCTTATCTACCTTTGCGCAATTTCTTTTTATTTCTCCCGCAGGTGCAGGTCTCGGTATTGAAAGAGGAGAAGCGCAATCTCCTACGGCAAATGGACGAGCTGAATAAAACGAATTCCTACAATGACACCCTACAGAGGCATCGCAGCCAGTCATTCTCGGAACAACGCGCCATCACCCTGCGAAACCTGAAGAACTCTGGAAGCGTGCCTACCAGGGACATGGGCACTATGTGCGGCGTAATGACAAGGGACGTTGGGGTATCGTACCAGCCGGTAAGAATCTATCTAACAGATGTCTAACACACGTTTGAAAAATTTTGAAATTGTAGATTTTTAACTTTTGTATTAGAGTTTTTAGTTATTTCACTAGAATATTATTTAATTAAGTATTCTGGTGCATATTACATTCCTTATTTTATTTAAATATACTCATTGATTAACTTCATTAAACTTTCCTTCGTGTCGTACATATTTAAAATATTTTCTATTTAATTTTATGTATATATGTATACTTAATTCATCTCAATCTAATTATAGAAAACGATAAGAAATTAATGAAGCAAAAATTTGAATATTATTAAAATTAACTTAGGTCTAACAAATCCTTTGAGAATTTCTATATTTGATTACAAGTGTGATCTTCAGATTACGTGACTGATTTTTTAACTGAACCCCCTCCTTGAATTATTCGTCGATTTATGTATATCCAGAAGTGAGTGGCGATTGCTTTTCTAATTAGAAGTGAAAATCGGAATTTAAATGGCGATACACAATTTTGCCGTGTACTCTCGTCGCTTAAGTTGCTTCGCGTGTCGTTCCTCCACGTCGCGACTTTCGCGTGTACATTTTTCGCGCAAATACATATTAATAAATAGACACATTGAGATTGAAGATTAAAAAAACAGCTTTGTTACGATATGTATCCGCTCTTCAACACTATGCTGCGTTTCATTCTGAAACTTCCCAGATATGTCATCGGCAATATAATCTGCTCGGTACGCAATGGTTCGTAATATTTAAGGCGATTAACAATGTATATACAAAATTGACATTACGCTGTTTTGTGCAGTATAGAATGTAGCAATTATATCAATTCATTCGTGTTAATTTACAAAGAAATAAATTAACCCCGAGCAAAAATATACTTCACCAGCGTCCAAGTTTACGTTGAAAATATTCATGTCAAGTTAACAATTGACCGCGTACAGGTTCGAACAAGGGACGTCGGTATGATAACAAGCACGCCGATCAAGCCATCGCTGCAGAAAAGTCATCTGCGAATCGAGGAGATTGTGCCCGAGATCCAGGATCAGAGCGCCGTGCTGGCAGACGAGACACCGACGGACCTCTCGAACTTTTCCAACTCCCAGCATCGTAGTTGGAAATCGAGTTTGACCCGCAGTCAACTGATGCTGGAGGAAATCCTGCCGGAAGTACGATGGAGGCCGCTGACGAAAACTCTGCTTCAAGTAGAATCGATACCGCCCGGCGAAAAGGATTCGATCAATCGCAAAATCATGAAGAAGACGCGGGACTTCGGTATCAATACGGAGAACAAATCCAGGAGCCTTCAGTGCAGTCATTTCCTAATCGAGGATATTGCGCCGGAAGCGAAAAAGGAAATCAAGAAGCGTTCCTGCGGCACAATAACGAGATTGGGTATGAACAACGTCCTGACGCACGCGGATGCTGAGTTGCTCGTGGAGCGCGCCTTGAAAAATTACAAGAACAGCCTGGTGAAGGACACTTCCTCCAAGAGCGTTCAGTGCAGTCCAGACATGCCTAGAGTCGTCGAAAAGAAGGATCAGATGGTCCAGGTGACAGAACAGTTCAAAATGCGTTCACACGTCGGTGTAACCGCCAAGCCGACGACATCGGAGGTCGGAATCGAGGTCAGATTCGGTTCTTCTACCAGGAGCGTGTGCGTCGGACCGGATCCAGTAGCGGTGCAACCGCCGGTATCGTTGAACTCGATGAACTCGAGGAGTCACTCGTTTAATTACGGCGATACGCGAACGAAGACCAAACCCAGCAAGTCGGTAGCGGTGATGGTGGAAGACCTGGTGAGAACCATTAATCGCGGCACCGAAACCACTGGTTTCACGCCAAAGTGTCGGGATTTCGGCACCTCGACGATGAAGAAGACGTTCGTCGACGTGTCGGTCGGCGAGTCGGTGAGGCCACATATCTCGATCTCCTGCGCGGCGAATTACTGCGACAACTGCAAGGAGACGATCAAAAGTCTGGCGAAACAGATCGCGAACAATGCGGAGAACAGCCTGAATCATCAGAACAGCAATATGGCATCCAGGATCCCGAGGCCGTCCCATATTCCCCTGAATACCAGCGATCACAGAAGGCAGTTCAAGCGCCAAGACACCTATACGAAAATACCAGCCGCCGGTGTGATAAGATACGACACGGATAATAAAGAACAGTACGACAGCAGCAATCGGTTAGTCGTTTGGGATTACATTCTTATTTTATCTTATCTTCTATGAGATAGAGAAGAAGGAACAGAGATTTATAGAGATTAAGAATTTAGCAGTTTTATCGCGGACTAATCCGCGGACTAAATCCTCCATCTATGAAAAATAATTGATTAATTATCTACATATCTATCTTATTCTGCAAAAAGTAATGAACCGGGGAAAATAAGTTAATTTACCCCATGATCCACATATGGAGTTTCATGGAATAATTAATTATTTACTTGCGGAAAGTTACAGATTGCACACAACTAAGTTTTTGCCATGGTTCCCTAGTAGCACAGTGCACTGGCTAAATATTGGTTATATTAGAAATGCATTAACCGATATTGTTCGACGTAAAGCCAATATTGGCTATGGAGTAAATGTAAATATTGCGCGATAATAATTATATAATGTTAGATTTCTATTGGAAGTGCATTGGCCAATATTTACCAATGTAATAAGAATATTGGTCTAATATTGTATCAATCTTGTATCTAATATTGTATCAATATTGTATCTAATATTCTATCAATATTGTATTAATATTACACCAATATTGCTAAATAGACATATTGGCTAAATAAGAGAAGGCGCCCATCTTACAATATTGGGCCAATGTTGCTTATATTCAAAATGCACATTGACCGATTTTGTCCAACGCAAAGCCAATATTGGCTATGGAGTAAATGTAAATATTGCACGATAATAATTATATAATATTAGATTTATATTGGAAGTGCATTGACCAATATTTACCAATGTAAATAAGAATATTGGCCTAATATTGTATCAATATTGTATCAATATTAGACCGATATTGTTAAATAGACATATTGGCTAAATAAGAAAAGGCGTCCATCTTACAATATTCGACCATTTCTGGGAATGCTAGATTTACATTATTTCCCAACATTGCGCCAATATATTGTGCTACTAGGGTTCAATCCTAAATTCATCGTGTAGTTTTAAACTTGTTTCCGAGCGAGTAGATCGAATCATTTACCCCTTCAAAATTCGATCCACCCTTCCCGCTCGACCACGCTTCACGCCATCTGTTATTTCCGTGGCCGAAGGTCGCCGTGTTGCAAGGGGGTTGTTTCGCGCTAAAGGGGATGGGAAGAGAGGGTCGCGCACGGAGAGCCCAGTTGCAGAGCCGCGCGTGACGTACTTCGTGCCGGCCAAGCGTGCCGGATAGTTTGTTGTTCTTTTTGAGTTCATGGTTGCGCGTGTGCCGAGTGCGTCACCGAGTGCTCTCTCTGGCACAACAGCCAGGACGTAAATACCGCGACTGAAGTCGGATATCGGATTCGCGTCCCGCGTACGTATTGGCGATCTCGCAATGGTGAACGAGTAAACGCACCCTCGATCTCGACAGATCGATGCTGCAGCAGCAGCAACAGCAGCCGCAACGAGCCGATCCGCGTTTATTTAGCGATCTCGAAGTCTCCGATATCCCGTCTGGTCCGGCCACGGAAGGGTAACGTCTCCCCCTGCCACAGTCTGATATCTTACTTCTATTTACAGCGCTTGTTCTACCATTAATTTCCTCGGTGTCGTGTTGAAATTAAAAAATTACAATTTTAACAATAATAACTAATGTAACTGACACGATGCTTTTATAATTTTCTTAAAATCTTTCTTAAGATATCAACCTTTCAAGCCCATTGTTACATTTGATCGAATGGGTTCGTTTTCTCAACGTTTCTCATATAACATGTACAAGGAAATTAATTAACTCAGCAAAGGAGTGTTGTATGTACGTCTATCAAACATAAAAAAAAGTAAGACCTGTCTCTTCTTACAGCATTCAACAATTGCAATCCGAGAAAATCAAGGATGAAAAGATTGCGTCAGAAGAGGTGCGTAACATGGAGAAGGAGGCGGATAACGAGAAGTCCGAGCTGCCGGAGTCGGCTCTGTTTCAACCAATACAAGATAAGCCGAGGAAAAAGGTCGAGCCCACGAAAGAGATGCAAGCCGCCATGAAGGTGCTCAACGACAGTATCAAGAAGTCCCCTAGCAGAAATATCTCCCATCAGCTCAAGAACGCTACCAATATCATACAGCCAGAATGGTTCAAAATATCCAGCACATCTAGCGCGAATCCGTTAGATGTCGAGGATTATCTGGACCGTTTCGAGGAGTGCTCCAGCACGCTGCTGGAGTACATCGTCAACATGACGGACACCAGTGGAAACACAGCGATGCACTACGCGGTCTCCCACGGCAATTTCGACGTGGTGTCTATATTGCTAGACTCGAAGGTCTGCGACATTAACAAGGCGAACGTGGCTGGTTACACGGCTGTGATGTTAGCTGCTCTGGCGGAGGTCAGAAATTCCACGCACGCCTCGGTAGCGAATAGACTGTTCCAGCTCGCCGACGTCAACATCCGAGCAAAATTGGTGAGCTACATTGCGACAAATATAGTGGGCACACCGTGTGTGAGAACTGTCTCGCTTTTCTTCGAATATCTTTTTTACAATTGTTCAATTATTCTTTGTGTAACAGCATGGGCAAACTGCACTGATGTTGGCGGTATCGCACGGACGTAAGGATATGACGCAACTGCTCCTGGACGCTGGAGCTGCGGTTAATATCCAGGACGAAGACGGTAGCACCGCGCTGATGTGCGCCGCGGAACACGGCCACACCGACATCGTGAGATTGCTCCTCGCGCATCCGGACTGCGACCCAGCTATCGTCGACGTGGACGGCAGCTCGGCCCTGAAGATCGCCCTAGAGGCGGGTAACCGGGATATCGGGGTGTTGCTTTACGCTCACGAGCACGTTAATCGGGGCATCAGCCCGTATTCGACTCTGAGGCGAAGCAGAAGGGGTTCCAAGCCGACAACGCCCACCGGACCGTCTCCGTCGGCTCCAGTTAGTCCGGCGCCATCGCGACGCCTTCATTCGTCCAGCGTTTCTCTGAACACATCAAAATATTCCAAATAATTCCGATAATAGATCCTTCATACGATTCTCTTATAGGTTCATCCATCATGATTTTTCTCTTCACACGTTGTTTCGAATGTAATAGCAATTGGCAAACGAGTCACAGTATAACTGGAACTTTATATTTAAGTATAACTTTTCTTTGATACGACCTTTTTATATTCTTCTATAAGTTACAGTTGTATCTATGATGTATATTCTTATATTCATCACACCGATTGCGAGAACATACGACGATACATTAGAGTCCTCTTGCCTAACGATCGATTTGTTTCGATGGAACTGTATTGTATAATTTAAGAAGTCAAGAACGATGCTCAACACTGTATATATCTATTCAGGGTAACGTTGGAAAAATCTTGTAGTTTAGTTTTGTAGTGTAATCTCTAGAAGTAGTCCATCGTAGGTGCTGTCAGATATTTTGACGAATCTTTCGTAAATCCTTCGTAAATTTTATACGATTTTGATCGTAGCGCACCCTCGGGGAATACGATTTTTCTCTTAGACGGGGTGTGAAAGTACAAAGTATCTAACATCCATGACTATACAATCCACAGTAAACAATCGGTCGATCTTTTTGTGCGCGTCTCTTTTTGTGACTCTGTGGCATTGAACATTCCAAAACGAACGATCATCGATCCGAATTTCTTACGGTAGAAATTTATACTGTATTTCCAAAATTTCAGGCCTAATCTCAAATTAGGGATCAAATCATCAGTATCGTGTGTGTATACATGTATACATGCGATAGACATAGAGAAACGTAGCAATATATGTAATGAATGTATATGTTATAACAGTGTGAGAGTTTTACGATTCAATTATTTACGGCGTTTTCACGCGCGAACGACATCAAACGTACTTATCACTGTTCTATGTTGAGATAGAGATGTTAGATGATGAAAAAAATGTATAAAACCAGTATATCTAGTTGTGAAACGTGCGAGCGTCGAAAGACTTACGAGAGAAATTATGTTTTGGGACTTGTTAACGATTTTCATATCTCGAAAATTTTATACGCGATCATATCGAAGTGTTAACATGTATTTATTTAACCGAACGAATTGTCAACACGTGCATTAAGAATCGCGTTCCATTTACGTGAAGAAGGAATAAATACATTGAACGGTTTTCTTATAAGGTTGTGAATAGATAGAGTTATAATTAAATTATTTAAGTTCGAGAGAGGTCAAAGATCCATAGTTTAATGTTATCGTAAGTGTTTCTCCGTCTCCGAGAGTAATTCTATGACGATTGTTGGAGTAAGACATAATTGTCTATATCGAACGTGTAGGCAATGTATGAACACATTGATGCCGTAGGAATCTAGAAAGTAGAAAAGTACTCCTTATTGTTTGTGCCTTTATATTTAATATATAATACCATTAAATGATATACTGTAATACAATTCTCCAAATATTCCTTATCCATAATTAATCCAGCAATCTATAAAAGAGAAACATTTTTAACGGAAAGGAAAGATCCTTGAAAGCGTATATATTTATGAAATTAATAAAGACAATACGTAACGCTAAATCGCCTGCCGAGAGATGTAGCATTGTAAAGACTATGGCTCGTATTCTGAACGCTCTTTTATTGTTAAAAGCGCCTCTAAAAGCTAATAAGCCCTCTGATTGGCTACAAGCCATTTTTAGAGGCTTAGAAATGCATTGGCCGATATTGTCCAACGTAGAGCCAATGTTGGCCGTGGAATAAATGTAAATATTGCACGATAATGACTATATAATATTAGATTAATTTATATTGGAAGTGTATTGGCCAATATTTAACAATGCAATAAGAATATTAAGCCAACGGTACACGGTACTATTTTTCCCACTGCTCTCGTAAGCATTCCAGTAGGAAAAATAGTATCGTCTGCCGTTGGCTTTAGTCTAATATTGTTAAATAGACACATTGACTAAATAAGAGAAGGCGTCCATCTTACGGTATTAATTGGGAAAATACTAGATTTGCATTATTTTCCAGTATCGTGCGCCAATATATTACGCTACTAGGGCGCTTTTATCGATAAAAGAACAGTACAGATTGTTCAGAATACGGGCTTTCGAATTCTGGACAAATTTTCGCGATCAATATCTTCAGAAATTGCATTATCGATCGTCGATATAAAACTTATTCCTCGCCAATATAATATTCGTATCAATTTAGATTAGATAATTAGATACGAAACCTCAGCTTAATAATTAAATTATAAAACTAAATTAGTCATCTCCAAGTTTTACAACCGCGCGAATCTCCACGAGATTGTCAGTCGATGACCTAGCATAACTTAATTTGCTCGTGGCACACGGGCGCACACGTACTCAGTGGTATTCGGACGTCACTACGATCGTGACGTTGACACGTACTTTGACATATATTTTCTATTCTCCGGCTGTCTGTATTTTCTATGTAACCGGTAAATTGCGGACGCTTTATTAAAAAGCTTGGGACAAATTTTTTGGACACATACGAACGTCTCGGTTGTCTATTTGAGGTTATATTTATACACGAATTGTTTCAGCTCAAGTGTCGTCGCTTAACAAGGTTTGCTTGCGTCGACAACACATTTTTCCCGAAACAATTATTATTACCGTTTCACTGGGTAAGTCTATTTATCACAAGTATTATATTTATGCAAGTATAGATAAAATTAAGCCGACACACTATGTACCTTTCCAGATAAAGAGAGCTCGAGATAGCTCTCAAGTTCCTAAGGGCGTTTCGTGGGACAATAATTCCTTCCCGCATCCGTTCGTCTACGAAGCTACCACGATTGCTAACAAAATGCGACGTTCTCATTCAGGTAAGTTGACGTCCGTTGGCAGGTGCATCGATCGATTCCGATTTTACATACGGGCTTCACTTTTCCAGGGGGTTACGGCTACGAACCTTTACCAAGTACGTCTACCCACAATGCTGTGGAGGACGAGAACGAGAGGATGACTGAAGAACTGAAGGACAAAATACATGCTTTGAAATCATTGTCGATCGACATTGGTACCGAAGTGAAATATCAAGATAAAGTGCTAAGAGGCATGGTTAGTCGATCAGCATTTCCAAGACACGTTTACACAATGTGTTACCTTAAACATAAAAATAATACAGGTTTATATTTTAGGATGATGACTTTGAGAGGACAAGCGGTTCGCTATCTGGTTCCGTGGCGCGTGTCTTGCGTCTGGCAAAGGCAGGCCACAATTATTACATCCTATATTTGTTTCTTTTTTCTATAGCAGTATTCTTCGTGTTGTGGATAGTGTTGAAGTTTAAATGATTGTACGTAAGATCTATAGCTAAGGTGAAATGTATATAAAACGCATTTAGGATAAAAGTAGATATTTTAAATAAGTTATTTGACTAGACTTGGATTTTTTGCATTGTTTTATCGTACAGGAAGTACTCTACTCTCATTTTATAGACTAACATACACGTGTCGAACGTAAATATTAATTTTAGATGAGTAGCGAAATATGGTGGACTCTTGGATGAAGGAAATAAATATTTTTTTACGAATCTGTATACGCTTAAATAAAGAATTGCATGTGTAAGTAATAAGAGTAAAAATTGTGTTTAAATTCTTTTAACGTCTTTCATTTTTCGTCGTACATTTTGAAATAATTCTTCTGCCGAAGATCGAGTTTATTTTAATAAAACTAGATGAGAGAGTCTTCTATGGACGTAGAAATACTTGGACTGGGCGTACGGCCGCGCGAAAATAAAAAACTGCAAAGTATCAGGAGAACATGATCAGAAAAGATGTGTCATTATTGGAATTCCGAGAAATTCAAAGTTCAAATTGCGAAAATCGAGAAGCTCGAAAACTGGC